AAAAAATTCCAACTGCCCATTAATAATACCCCAATTATCCAAAAGCCCATCAATGCATAATTCTCTGCAACTGTTGGAATTTTCACCTTCTTCTTCCAGAAGAAGTGCTCAATTTTCACTGCCAAGGTTCTTGGTAGATTCATTTTTCACTGGAAAAAAAAAAACAGTAAATAGTCAAATGTTTATACTGTTTCTGTTTAGCTTGTTCTGTTTTTCCCTCATCTCTCCTTCTTTCGGATGCATAGCAACAGCACTGCTCACAGGGACAGACAAACCACGTTATGTCCCAGGCAGCTGGGATATACAATTCTGGCCATAATAAATAGAGCAATGATGTCCGAAAGTAGCAATTATATATTGTGAGGTAACATCCTTCCTGACTCTGTGGAAGACTTGGGAATGGGTACTTACAGTGTGGTTATAATCCCATAAGCACGCCACTGAACAGATCACTATTATCACACAGGCAGACCACATGTGGTTAGAATAAAATTTTCCATGATTTTTTTTTTTAAACTTAAAATTAAGGGCCAGTATATGAAGAATGAATGTGGGCTTACAGAAAACTAGACAGCCAATTGACATATCCTTCCTTTTACAGGAAATAAACTCAGAGTAGAAATAAAGCTCCTTTGAGGCTCTTGTCTTACTTAAGGTAAGCAAGATGAAGCTCCATTATCTCATAATGGCTTTTTGAGAACAAAAACTGGACCTTTCCTCCTTGCATCTATCTCCAGAATGCAGAGCAAACATGCTCAATCAATACAAACACACCATCTTTTACCTGTTGTTGCTGTTGTTTTTTAATCTAAAAAACGGGAACCAGAGTAACTGCTATATTTATTTCTTTGTACACAATACAAACAAAAGGAAATAATACATAAAAACCCTTTGAAATTTCTGTGCAAGTCAAATACACAATATTTTGCTCAAGGATTATAGCTATTTATCTMCACTGGGTAAATAAGGAAAATAAAGGTCAGAGAGGCATAGTAGATATTCAAGGGCCAACAACTTATAAAAACTGACTCTAGAACCACATTTCTGGGGCTTTGCCTTATATTCCAACTGACAAACTCCTAGGGTTTGCTTAGATTTCATATTGTATCAACAATTAAAATGGTATTTACTTTTAGCATGTATTGCACCAATTTTCAATATAATCTTTGAAATAGTATCAACTTATATGCAACAGAAAAATCCCATCTTCACTAAACCAAATGGAAATTGATAATCTAAAAATATATGGAATTGTCAGATATAATTATCTTTTTGGAACAGATAAGAGGGTTGTTTATGAAAAATTATTTATTGTATACACTTTTTGTAAAAAAAATAATACTTTCTTCATTGCTATTGCTAGCATGTATTGTATTCATTCAATACATGCTAAAAGTGCTCAATAATGACATTTAAAGTTTGAAATGTATGGTCCTCTCATTTCCATCATGCATTGTTACTTCTAAGCTTTCTATATAATGACACATTATTTTTGTTGTTGGATGTAATGTTATAAAATATGAATGACCTAAGACAAAATAAAAATTAATACTTGTTTTAAAAAAATGGTATTTACTGAGTCCTTTCTATGAGTAAGGCAAAGAAATAAATTCTATCCAATTTTGTAAACTCCAGCAGTCTTTCAAGTGCCTCCATGACATTAAAAGTTAACTGGTTTCCACTCCTATGGCTTCCCTGAATTTTACATAAACTGTTATAGTACTCACTGTACTATAAAGTTTACACCACGTGTTTTCATGTGCCTGAGATCCCATCTCTACCCATGCTGTATACAGTAAAAGGGAAGAGAAGGATAAAGAGGAACGAGGGAAGGAGAGAGAAGGAGGAAAAAAGCAAAGTGAAGAATTTATTGGCCTAATCAAGGAAGCTGCTACACTGGGTATTTTCATTAATTCAAATGACCAATATGGCATTAATTCAATGCCCCATGGGATGGCACATGCCTGTAATCCCAGAAGCTTAGGAGACTGAGGCAGGAGGATTGCAAGTTCAAAGTCAGACTCAGCAAAAGAGTCTTAAACTCACTCAGTGAGACTCTAAATAAAATGCAAAATAGGGTTGGGGATGTAGCTCAGTGGTCAAGTGCCTCTGAATTCAATCCCCAGTAGTCCTCCGGCCCTCCACAAAAAAAGTCAGTTTTGGGTGGATTCTTTCTCTAAAAGTAGAGGCATTTTCTAAACTTGAGTTATAAGAACATCAGAAATACATTTTGCTGGGATTTTTAAATTAATGGAGCTTTGTAGTAGTATACAAAGCATGTTTCTCTTTCTTTGCCTACTAAAATTATCTAGTTTTCTTTCAACAGGGCTCCATTTTCTTTTTACTTAGGACTGAAATGCAGCGCATTTTTATTATGTCATTTAAATTTGTTAGTCTAACTTTGGTAAACAAGAGCCCCAAAAGCCAGTTACACCATTTTGAGCAGTTCCCACTGGATACATATAAGGGTTGATCAAAACTGTGTGTGTATCTCCAGTCTAGAGAGCTACCTTACTTGCTTTACCTTTCACATTCCTTAAAAAGAACAACAACAAAAATCTCACCCATTGCTGATTAATGTAGGCAGACTTCTGAAAAAATAAATTATGGCAACCTACAATCACGACAAACATAACAGCCATGAAGTGTGGAACCTACTGAATCCCAGCCCAGAAACACATTTCCCCCTAAACTAGAAAAGAGACACCTTGTGCTATGAAATCAGGATCCAAATCCAATTTCTTCCCAGCTTCTGGAGAAAGAATTTCAAGGCTCTCCAAAGAAAATGCTGTGATCTTATATAATCTCCCTCCTCATCAAGTGACCACCCTGCAGAATATCAAATGCTGTGAGAATGTGAAAAGAAACAGGCACCTTGAAGTGCTTATGAAAAAGAAATGCATGTATAGGAAGACCTGGTATTATTGTTAAGGTGTGTGTACTTATGATGTGACAACTCTGGTATGATCTTTAAATTCTGTCAGATTGTCTTCAATTCTTTGCTACAGCAGTTCTAAATAATCCTTTGTACTGAAAACACTAGTCACCTGTATTCCTGTAAAAAAATCAAACATATACTAAGCAGAAAAATAAAGCAAATTTTATTTAAGGTTACAAGTACGCTATCCAAGTATCTATTCTTGTTGCTTCATCACAGGAAGACTTGAATGTGTATTCCTAAACAAGGTGAAAGAGGTGCTGTGTGTGCTGTGTTTATTTACACAGACAGTGTTTGCCCTGGCTAATAACTCACATTACTAAACAATTTTCCTTGAAGCTATTTAAAGAGAGCATTATATGAATTATATTAAAGAAAGAGTTTTTAAAGTTTAAAAAAGTGAAACCAATCATTTAAAACTAAAATTTCTAATTCATTTAGAGAAAAAAATTGTATATTCTCAAATTAAAGAATGAACATAGTATTTAGAGGCCTATAATTTATTATTAAAAACTTCATGTTTGCTAAATTTAAATCTAGTTTCAAATTGTGGTGTGGACAAAATTTTGGTCACCTTAAAAAAATATTTCTTCTAATAACTTGTGCCAAGAAAGAAAAAAGCTCATACACATGTACAGAGAATACCTTACAGCATAGGTTACTACCTATTACAGCTGGTGCAACAATACAACCTGAACCATACATGTCAATTAATATTATTAAAAACAAAACAGAGATCAACCCAAGGCAAGGATTCCATGCTCCTCTATAGTTTTATTTATTTATTTATAAAATAACTAAACTTGGCCTATACCATTATTTTTTTTAGATGAAAAAGTTATCTAATAGTTTTTAGTTATGGTGAATAATCTCCCTTACCTTTTAAAAAAAAGTAATTACTGAATTTTACTTTTTCTCTAGAATCTTGTACTCTCAAAGATAATTTATTTACTTTAGTGCAAGAAGCCATCCGAGAAACACATGAGAATGGTCTCTCAGCATGGAAGCCAGGGAGAGATAGGCCTGGCTCTGGGAACTTTCCTTGGCTCTACCTCGGCAATACAATGCCCAATGCATGTGACCTTTCCCTCTGCTCTGCTAGGAAGATTCCTCATAGTACTATGGAAATAGGCCATAGTAACCCGCTAGGGATTGTACAGCCCACCTTTAACCTTTTTTGGAGAAGAGCATTCTATGGAAGTCCTTTGATGTTTCCCGATGTAAAGAAAGCAGTCGTGGGCTCCATTTTGTCTAGAAGCTTGATCAGTCTGATGAGCTTGCCTGTCCTGCCCCTGATTTTGAAACTACTTACTGTGTTCTGTGGTTTTTTTTTGCATTTTATTTCTCTTAGTTTTTATTTCTCAGCCAGCCCATTCCACCCAGGGGAACCCCATTTCCATGGTCCATGTGGGACATGGGTGGAACTTTAGTTAATAGTTAATAACTATGTATAAGTTATTTTATATACTCAACCTTTATGTATACCTTTTCTAGGTATAATACTTTTCCATATGGCCAAATATTCTGTGCATAATTAAAAGGAAATAAAACCAGTGGGCTTAAAAAGAGAGGTAAAGGGTCAAGACATGGTACCACCTTAGTCTAAATGCAGCCAAAATTTTAAACATGTTCCTTTCAACATTGCTCCTTGCTATATGATATTTATGTTTAAGGTAGGATACTAAAAATACCTTGTAATCCTTCATTTTAGGAGTCTTAAGAAAAAGTTTTAACTAGAGTTATTTTAATTCTTCATGTAAAACTCCAATAAACCAAAAAAATACCCTATTATAGCCAGATATTCAATTCGATTCATTCATTTAAAGTTGGCATTATAAAACTRATATAATGCTTTCAAATACGACAGAAGCAGCAGTTGTTTGCCTGGTTCTTTATATTATTAATTGTAGCTACTGAATAAATTCTTAAAAGTTTGTAAATATACTGGGAAAACAATATGTAAAGAAATAAGGGCAGTCACATGATTGTTTTGTTTCTTTAGAGTCACAATAAGTACTAAGTATAAATTTACTTACCTCGGTGAAGAACTTTCATGTCATCACTAGATCCTTTCAACACAACATATAACGTTGGGTATTCAATGATCACTTTATTCTTCAAATTGTCTAGGAGACTTTTATAAGGATCCAGTTCATAATATCTTAGTAATTAGAAGAGCAAAACACAAACAAATATATCCTTAGCATTCAAAATGACTAATAACTAAAACATACATCAGAGAATCTCTTACATTAAATATTTTAAAGGTGATGATATTAACTGAGTAGCCATTATTTATAAGTTTAATGCCGTCTAAGAAAACCAGATAAAAGAGCTATTATATGGAGGKTCCAAAACCAAATCAAAAGTGTATCAAATATTCTAACATTAGGAAATCTTTAAATCAAGTCATTAATTTTCATATCAAGCAGGAATAAAGATTCTACATGATATTTATGTTTAATGTATTATGATTTTATCTTGGATAAAGAATGACCAGGTAAAAATTAAAATTCCGCAATTATATTTACTTTGAGCCTTAAAAGTAAAACAAACTAACTACCTTTTGACAAATAATTTCTAATATATGGTGGAAAATAATTGGCTACAAAATATTTCTATAAAAATCAACTATAATTATAAATGGTTTCTAAAAATTTATATTGCCATAAAATTAAATTTGGTCTTCCTCTATTCTGAAAGAATAGGTTTAGGGCTGGGGCTGTAGCTCAGCAGTAAAATACTTGCCTAGCATGCATGAGGCACTGGGTTCAATCTTCAGCACCACATAAAAATAAACAAATAAAATAAAGACATTCTGTCCATCTACAACTATAAAAAAAATTTAAAAATAGGTTTAGGTTGATTTTTTCTTTTTTTTTTTTTTGTACCAGGGAATGAACTCAGGGCCACTCAACCACTGAGCCCTATTTTTTATATTTTATTTATAGACAGGGTCTCACTGAGTTGCTCAGCACCTCACTTGTTGCTGAGGCTGGCTTTGAACGAGATCCTCCTGCCTCAGCTTCCCAAGCCACTGGGATTACAGGCATGCACCACTGTGCCTGGAAGGTTTAGGTTTCTGAATGAGGCAAAAGCATAAAATTTAAGCAATACTGAGAATATCAGTCATGGTATTATGATATAACTGTTAAATGTGTTATAGGTAATTAGATACAAATATTCATTAAGGTATGAAATCCTCAAATTGTTACTTCATAAATTTAAGCTGAATAAATTTAGCATCTCTTTTGCTATAAGTAAGCTTTTACTTGCATTTTGGGGTGGGAGAAAAATGTAAGCTAGCTCACCAGCAGTGGCATATACAAATACGTTAGCATATGAGTATCATTTCAAGTCAAAGAAGAAAAAGTTGAGAACATATCCACCAGTACAGTGCAGAATTCTTCAGCTTTCTTCTCCTTCTCTACCAATGACAGATGATATTTATATGTGAAAAACTTATCCTGACAGTTTTAACTCCATCCTTTCCCCTCCCCCTCAAGAAAGCACACTGGGATACAAGTGTTCAAGAGAGAGGCTTTCATCAGGACACACTTTGAATCTGCTGTAATTTTAAGAGTAAATTGTTCACAAATGTTGGTATTTCTTAATTAATAAATTGTTTATACCCTAACTCAAAGCTGAGTATGTAGCACACTACTCAGAACTCTAGTGCAGTGATTTCTCTATGTTCCAAGTTCGTTCTGGGCAATAGTTTTCAAATAGGGGGAAACACAAGGCTTAACACAATGTAAAACCAAGCCTACTATAAAACCTGATGTCTTTTTAAGAAGTAGGTGACAAGTGAAAGAACAACTGTAAACCCAAACTTCATATGTTCTTTTCTGATCACTCTACCCCTTGAATTTAAATGTTAATTTTAGAATCACAGAATATTATATTGAAAAGAAACTTAGAATAGAAAATAACCTAAGTATTCTACACCAGCCATCCTAGTGTCCGTAGAYCATAGAATGCATACATCATTCTTTTCCCTGTGTAATATAATACAGATGTGCTTAAAATACTTTAAAAGTGGTTCCAGCATTCCAGGATTAATTGCTTCACATCTTTTAAACATTATTTCTCTTTGAAATATGCATTTTTTAAAAGTTAGCAGTAATTACACAAAAAGAAAAATGAGTTATATTAGATACCTGAGGAAAAAATTAACTTATGAAGTGAAATATAAAATGAAAGAAAACAAGACTTGAATTCTTAATCAGGAACTTTTCAAGCAGCAACCTATAACATGTGCAATAACTAATCTGCACATTTTAACTGAATCATGAGGCTTCTATTAAGAGACATTTTCAAATAAGGTAATGTTTTCTACTTATTTCAGGGTTTTTGTAAATAATTTTCAGCATATACTTAAATGCTTTAGGTGTGTTATTATTTTTTTTTGTAGTATTAAATCTGTATGGGTTTCTCTAGATCACCAAAGCTGAAACAATAAGAAACAACAAAAAGAGTTCTTTAAAAGTCATATGGGAATCAGAAACTACTATTATTGTTRATACAATATAAATTATGTTCCCAGCAGAGGAATGTTCAAATACATTAAAAAATTACAAGCATGTAGCAACTTACATGTGTTTTCAATCCTAAAAATYGATGATTATGCTTCCTTACTTTAAAAAAAAATTGGGTCCCTATTTTATGTGCCAAGATTGTAAAGCACATTAGGATACAAAAATTTTTAAAAGACTTGTCAACCCAAAGAATTGTTTTTAAAATAGTTTATTCAATTGCAATGAAAACCTGGTTATGTTGAGTGGATTTGATTAGAATCACTGGATTTTAATTGGTGTTTATCCTAAAACGTTGCAAACTTCTAATCATAGCGATATTGCTATTGAGTTTATGTTAGCTTCTAGTCCACAGCTTTCCAATCTGTTAACTGAAGAAGTTGGAGTTCATTAAAGAGTGTTTTAGTTGAAATTCTGAACTTCTTACATTTTTGTACTATTAGTGGTAACTCTTAATCTACAGTTATTACCTACCAGATATTTAAAAGTACATTATAGTATCATGTTAAATAATGTAAGCCAATCCCAAAAAACCAAAGGCCAAGTGTTTTCTCTGATAAGTAGATGCTGATACATAATGGGTTTAGGGCAAGGGAAGAATAGAGGAACTTTGGATTGAGCAGAGAAGAAGGGGGGTGGGGCGTGGGGCGTGGGGAAGGAGTTGGTAGAATGAGATGAACATTATTACCACTATGGATGGGTATGATTGCACAAATGGTGTGGACTCTATGTCATGTACAACCAGAGAAATAAAAAGTTGTGCTCCATTTGTGTAAAAAAGTAAAAATTAATTTTAAAAAAGTTCATTATGGAAATTATTCATAAAGAAAGATTCATTATGGACAGTGATATGGCTCAATGATAGAGCACTTGCCTAGCATGAATGAAGCCATCAGTTCAATGACCAGCACTTAACCTCAACACCCCCTAAAAAAAATGGTGGTGGTGGGCACTGGGATTGTGGGTCAGAGGTAGAGTGTTCACCTAGCATGTGTGAGGCACTGGGTTTGATCCTCAGCACCACATAAAAATATTGTGTCCACTTACAACTAAAAAATAAATATCTTTTAAAAAAAGGTGGCGGTGGGGGGGAGTTAACATTATTTATGTACTTGGAATTTAGTTAAATTAACCAGTAACTTTTARTGGTTGCTTAGGTTTGGAGTCTAATAATGAGCTAATGTCCTGGCTCCAACATTCACTGGTCTGTTATTCTGAACCAGTTACTCCTCTAATTCCCAGTTTTCATACCTTTCATACCTGAAAGGTAATGACAGTACCACCTCAGAGAGATATTGTGAGGGCTAAGTAATAAAACACAACTTCTAGCTCATTTAAGCCATGAACACATCAGTTTTTCATTTGTATTCACCTGAAATAATAAATTCTTATAAATTTTCAGGACAAAGTTACTCGACTTTTTTTTTTAAAGTAACAAAGATTGGCACTTATTATGTAAGCACTGAAGCACACATCTGCCTTTATATCCTTTTTGCATTTTAAATGTAGACTTACAACTTTCAGTACAACCCTCAAACCATTACATTATTATTATGTTTATATCTAAGCCTCTAAAAGTATTTTGAATGTTTCAGTGTCCATTATCTTCAAGTAGATTTAAAGTTCAGATTTAGAGTTCAGCTTTGTACTATTCAAAACAAAGCTTTAGCTTGTTTGCAAGATATTAAGTCACTGAATCCTAGGGGACAGCTTTATCTTTTCAAAATTTTCACCAATTCTGGTGTTTCCATTAGCAGAATGACTCTGCTACCACAAGACAAACTACTTAGGTTTGGAAGAATTAAGATACCAACATTTGTATTTTTTCTTACCCTCAGGGACCCCTCAGACATTTCCTCTTGTTATTTCACTTGCTCACCCACACAGGCCTCACTAGCTGACCCTGTTCCAGGCAGCCTCACAGAGGCATTATGAGGGCAGCATGGCTCCCAGGCTCAACAGGTGTTAGTTACAGTGACTGACATTATATAAATAAAATCCTGATACCCAAGGGTGTGCTTTTAATCTTGGCTCTCTCTTACTAACTTTCAAAGAAACGGGCTAAGTTCTTGAACTTTTTTCTTTGCATTTTATTAGTAAATGAGAGTACCTTTTCACAACTCAAAGACTGTGGAGCAGGATTCACAAACCACTTTATTTCCCATTTGATCAATGATGATCTTTGGATCACCACACCTTCTACTTCCTAAAAAATATTAAAACCAAGTTTGAATTTTTCCAGATTTAACAATCTAATAGCCTTGAGTCCACAGCATTTTCCCATCACAAAATAAAATTACTGGATGAGGTGATCTCCAAGATTACTCCAACTCTAAAATTCACATTTTTTGATTCTTATCTACCCAAAGTAGCATTTAACCCATATTCTAGTATAGTTGTTATTTATTTATCAATCTAGGTTTCTGGGTTAAAAGTATAACTACCTGATTCTCAAAGTATAAAGTTGAGATACAGGTTAAAAAAAAAATCTTAATAGAGCATAAACCAGTTCATTGTTATCTGATGGCTAAATATTTTTTAAAGAAAGGCTCATTCTGGTACAATGGAATTCACTATAAAGTTTCTGAATCAATTATAAATTAAATATTGGAGATTCACACTTAAC